CACGGTGCGGTATGCCGCCTCACCTTTGGGTACCACAGTACCATCAAGGAGGCAAAAGAATGGGTCCACCCATATTCCGGCCAGAGGATGACGAGAGATGAGTACATGAAGATTATCGGATATGACCCTCTCAAGGGTAAAAATCCTGACAAGGATGGACCCACTGATGGCTCTTACCTCTCACCAGAGGCGTGTCTGACACTGTCGGACCTCGACCCTTCGCCGGTTCTCTGTGAATGGAACGGCCATGTCGAGGGTGATGAGCCACCAGAGGAAGACTTTGAGTCATACGCAGAGATCTTCTCACAAGAAGCATCAAACGATCTTGACGAGATGTGGTGTACAAAAGGGCCTTACAAGGTCATCACCATCGCGATCGTCCATTTCAACTCATACATGACTCATAAGGAAGAACAGAGGCGCGAACTGGTGAACGCGTTCCTCAACGAGGTTCTCCCTTTCAAACCGGATGTAATTGCGGGGGATCTCAATAATATTGCGTCGAGGCTCACCTTAAAAGGTGGAGACGTTCACCCGCGAAACGGTTTGTTTTCTCTATACCTGGAGAAGAAACTTGCAGCATTCAACAGAATAGCAGGAAGGCACTCACAAGTGCGACACCTCTGCTTGAACAACTCTGACCAGCACAGACTGGCACGTGCAGATCGTCTACCGCCGGACCCGGCGAAGAAAGTTGCTGACCTCGACTGTATCAACAGTTATATCCTTGACTGGAGTAAAACGCCGCACACGGCGTCACCTAGTCCAAGAGATGCTACACCTGCCGCCGAAAGAACATACTGGGAACGAGTCTCAGATATGTGGCAGGACATGAACAGAAACAGGGATATCGATATCCGTCTGTTTGTCTCAGTCAAGCAGTACTATTCAACTTTTTCTAACCTTGACCTGTGGTTGAGTCCCTCTGACAAAGATTGGCACAGCCCTTTGGGCTTCACGATACAACCAATCCTTACAAAAGGGAAACACAACCGGTCAGATGCCCAGGTTCAGAAGATCGCTGACAAGCGACAGGCTTACAAGCAGCGTAATGCTGAATACTGGGATTACAAAGACTCATTTATGTATTCATCTGGCAACAGCTGGTACGACAGACAGCAACCACAAGGTAGCTATCACAGATATGGAAGATTCTGGGAAAGGCCACAGCCTGAACGTCCCAGCGAGCCTGAAGGCTCTCCTCCAAGAAGGAGCCAGGCATCATCGTCCTCTTCACAACAAGATCTACCAAGATCGAGATCCAGACCTCAGAGAGCCAGTCTTGTTGACAAGCTCAACATGTCTTTAGAGGAACTGGACACACTTGAGGAAGAACAATCTCCAACAAAAAGTGATATCGAAGAGCACGAACGAGAAACATCAAACCTGATGTCGGCTCAAAGAGATGAAGAGGAACAGGAGGATGAATCTTCCAGTCGCAGAAGAAGAAGGAAGTCATCGCGACCGCCGTCTGCTCCGAGCAGCAAGGCACTCCGAACAGCTGCCACAGCAGCAGGGTTGTCGAACTGGTTCGGACACCCTAATCAAGGCGGTGCAAAGGGAGAGTCTATCAAGACTGATGAACCTTCACTTCCAAACTCACTAACCAGTGAGCAAGACTTCTCCGTCTTCAGCATCGCGTGGAATGTGTTTCTGCTGCTAATGGGCCTACACTGGATGTGGAAGCAGCTCACCAGGGCTCCCATCAGATGTATGGACCGCCAACAATCAAATGCAAAAGCAGCAGCGAAACGACCACCACCATTTCTCGAACCCGAGAATGAACCACAGACGCGTGAACCTTTAGGACCCAACAGGGTCAATTCTGGAGAAACAACGGATTTGCGACCTGTGTGGCACACTTCCCGAAGCGAAGTCTACCATCTTTCAGACAGCTGTTACCAGCTCAAGCAAGCAAAAGATGTTTCAAGGAAGGTGCTGTGTAAAACCTGCCTCCAGGCAGTACAAGTTGCGGAGATTCGCAGGAACGATCCTTTTCAAAGAGGTGATACACGATCACGTGGCACCGAAAGGGACATTGAACGGTTTCAAACCTATGACGATGCAAGTACTACTCCTCATATGAGGCAATTATTCAGTGATGCATTGCATTCACAAATGGCCGAAGAAGCCATGCAGATTACCTATACATCAATCCCTAAGGGATCCTCGGCAAGAGCCAGAGGTACATCTGCACTCGCAAGTGCCTCATCGTCGTCAGTGCCCAAGGCAATGCCACCAGTGCCTAACAAGGCAAACATGTCACCTCCACCTAAGACTCCTCCGCCAAAGGCGAAAGGAACAGTACCTTCAGATCCTCCGAGACCAAAAGGTCCTACCAGAAGAGGAGGTCAAAATCGGCGCATTCAACGAAAAGCAGCTAGAGAAGCCCATAACAGTGGACTCTGCAACCATGCAGACGCTGCACTTGGCGAAGCCAATCAAGGCCAGGCCATTAACACTATGTGCCGAAACATGGCAGTAAGACACGTCAGCTCTATCGATGCAACGGTAGAAGCAGCCGAGCAGTTTACACAACGCGTGCAACAGCACGTAGAAACATATGATGAAGAGGAACCGTGGAGCACGGAGTTTCTACCAGTCGTGGAAGTCCTATTCAGGAACTTGAGCAGCGACGAAACAACTGTCATACATGACAATCATACGGTAACTATGCCTATTGAGAAATATCTCGACCTCCTCAGAATCGCACAATCATTGCGAAACTCTATCCAGAGAGACAAGGAGGAAAGAAAGGATCATCTTGACACCATCCAAGATACTCTATCCAGAGTGGAAATCCTTCTAACAGCACTGAAGGACTCAAAAACAGTCTTCAATCAATTGGTCCATTCCTCACTAGAGATAGAGCGAAGACATAAAAACCTCAAAAATGTCCTTGAGACACTTTTTGACGACCAAAGCTCTGAGGAAGACCAGTCAGAATCTGACCATGAAGAAGTCCTAACTCCTTCTGCAGCACAGTACTGGAACAGCCTTCATGCCCACGCCTTATCTCCCTCAGGAGATGAAAGTGAAAGATCATGGGCGTCCTCAGACGGACAGCTTGAAAGAAGAAGGGCCGAACGGGCAAAGGCTAAGCAGCCACAACCGGCTAAAGCCGAGGCAACTCCAATCAGCTCACAAGCTGCACCAAAGGCCGAGCCAAAGGCGACTACATCCAACCATGGATATGACACTGCAGACGCCGCCTTCACCAGGGCTGAGAACAGATTACTCGGAATCTTTTCAAGTTCCGAAGAAGATCACTCAGACCCGGATGAACCACATCCGAACGTCTATGCTCGAGCCTATGATCCAAACCTGGATCCAAATCTGAGATAAGGAAAATCTCAGAGTTTCACAACAGTGACTCACAAGGCTCTAACAAGAGCACAGTGAAGGGCTGCATAATTCGATAGAAGAACATTACCAGACCTGATCCTGTACAGACGATCTCTCTGACCAATGTGCATGAAAGAGTTCAAAAGGAGTGATTTCAAGAGTGACTTCAACAGTGTACTTCAGTGCTATACCTAGCATAAACAATATGCTGTTTTTATCATGAGTCCAAACTCCGCAACTGTGACAGTGGGCATAATAGTATATGTGTGAATGTGCGGCCATGCTTCCGGTAAAAGAAAATTAGTGTCTGTTTGTTTGCGTAAACCTCTAAAGGGGTAGCTCTAACAGGTACCTACAGCAATGGCTGCATGCTCATACATATACATTCCGCTGCCCATTGGCTCACAGTGGTTTTACCATATTGAGACAAGACAAGCTCTCCTTGCGTAGCAAGACAAAACAACTACTGTCCGTGTGCAGGGCGCTGCCCTTTGATCCTTAGGGAATAAACTGGTCATACACCTCCTAACAAGGAGCATTTCCTTGTGGGTGTATCGGCTCACCCCTTCCCCCCCCCCTTAAGCCTCCCTTAAGGGGGTGACCCTTAAGCCCCCCCTTCAAGCCCCCCTTAAGCCCCCCTTGAAGCCCCCCCTTCGTCGAAGGTCTGGGGCCCAGCCCCGTGAACTGGTTTCACTTTCACAAAGTTCTTGGTATGTTCGATTTCCAAACTTGTTTCAACCGACTTCAAGTGATCGATGATGAAAGCAAAAAATAGCAAACTTCCCTACAACGTGCTGGGGCTGAAAAGCTTTGCGCGGCATTTGTCAAGACCTGGAGGCCGGGAATGTTGGCATGACATGCTCTTTGATGGCTTGACATGACTCAGACTTTTTAAGATGGAAAGCGCAGTGAGTCAATCCGCCTGCCTCCAAAGCAAGAGCAAGTTTGGTACTTCGATTCGTTGCTGCCAGTACAACCACGCGAAGGATTGTTGGATTGCTGTAAGAGGTGGAGCGAGAAGGAAAAGGAAGCCAAGCTTCGCTTCGTATCTTTGAAGAAGAAGACGCAGATTGGTTACTGTCACAGGCACGAAGCATGCTCCATGAAGTTCCGGTTTTCTTTGGTGAGCAACAAAGAAGAAGGCAGTTTGGCAAAATAGCTTTGTTGTTGTTTGGGAAATCGGTTTCAAAATTCTTGTGAAGCGATGTCCGAGAGTGCTAAGGTTCTGCACTTCCACCAGACTTGCTTGATTTGGATGAGGAAGTCTTTTACTTGCATGTTGAAAGATCCGTTCGGGAGGGTCGCAAGCACGACGGGAAGGTCATTGCAGAGGTCGAGCAGCATTTGAATAAGCATCAGTTCAAAACAGGCGAAGAAGGCTATGACAGAGCTGGGAATTCCCGCGGAACATTCCAAGTAATCGAGCTTTAGATGGTGTCAGACACCGACATTTGGAAGAGGGCAAATCCTATGACGGCAAGTTCGTTTCCACATTTGCAGCTTTTTGCCAAAACCCACCCTTGCCTGTCGTGGTGCTTCACACGGAAGAGACACCTCTGGTTTCAGAAGAAACGGTTCGGGTCTTGTTCTACGAGCAAGAGAATTTGGACGCCGTGATTGCCTACCTTCGCACACAGGATCGGTGTGTGCTCGTCATGGATGCCACATTCAAGACCAATGTGCAGGATCTTGTGTTAGCTAGCCTCGGACTGGTCATCTTGCACCAGGTTGGCGGAGTGGTGCGCAATCGATTCTGGCCGGTAGTTTGTGCTGTGTGTGACAAGGAAGATGAACCGTGTTATGCCCTCTTATGTCGATCTTTCCAGAAGCTATTGGAAGCTTCGGGTTTGGATTGGGAGAAACTGGTGACGAATGTGGTCATGGATGGTGCAGGCGGTGCCATCAATGCCACAAGTGCATGCTTTCCAGACGCTACTTTGCACCGGGACTTAGAACACATACAGAAAGACGTCAAGCGCACCGGGAGCAAGAAGAAAGTCGACTCAGAGTTGACATTGGAGATAACGGACATCATCCAGTTCAGCGCGAAAATCGCACATCCACTACAGTTCCATGTCATCTGGGAAGACACGTTGCGAAGGCTGCGTGACCCCGAAGACTGGAATCAGGACAGCGCAGTTTGTGTGTGTGTGTGTAAAGTGGATTCCTGAGCTCGCTTCATAGACTATTTTCTTCGATCTTGGTAGCTGGGTTGATCGACTAGTGACTAGTTTCTTCGATCTTTTGAGCTGGCGTTATAGACTATGTTTTTCGATCTTGATAGCACTGGGTTGATAGACCAGAAGGCTGCTGCTGGGAAAGCTGCCTTGGGGTAGCGCAGCGGAGCTTGTAGGTTTGCTTGAGGAGAAATTCGCGGATTACTTGGAGAAGTGGGTCTTGCAGAAGAAAGGCTTGTGGTGGAGCGCAGATTGGCAGAGTGGTCTCGGTCAAGTGTGCCCGGGTTACGGTACTTATGTGTCGAATTCCCAAGAGCGGGCTTGGCGTTCGATCAAAGGTCTTTTCAAGAAAGGCTTCCGACACCAGGATGTCAGCCAATTGGTGCGTGAAACAGCAGTGACCCTGCAGACTCTGGTGCGCGGAGGACAGTATGCCAAAGCATGCTTTCAAATCGAGGAGCCTCCTGAGTCACTTGCGTACAGTGCGAAAAGGTTAAAGTCCGAGCAAGATGATGAAGGAATCCAATCCCACCGGCTCACATTGGACTTGATGCAGCAGTGGCGAGATAAGGAAGGCATGCGGCATGTCATGTGTTGTGTTCCCAAAAGCAGTGTTGGTGCTTGGTTAAAGCAGTGAAGTAGTGTATGCTGCAAGGTGACGCAAACACCTTTCTCAAGTACGAGACTGCGGGCCGCATCGGGTCGACTGTCGGACGGTGGACATTACTTCAGTCATCGTTATGCCAAAGTACAAATTGGAGTATGCCAAGAACAAGAAAACGGACATGGTGCAGCGGTTGGACTTGGCACTTTGTTCTTTGTATGAAGATGGTGAAGCTGCTTTTCGCACTGCTTTGGGAAACCCAAGGCAGTGGTCCTTTTCCATGCATAAAAAATTGTTCTACAAGTACACTGTGATGCATGTGCTTAGCACGGGCCGTGTCGTGGATGAACATCCACATTTTGTGCACAGTAGCTGCAGCGAGCAGGCTTTCTTTTACAAATCCGTGTTAGGCGGCTTGAATCTCCACCCCATTGCAAGGGGCCCCAAGACTCTCAAAGCCAGGCTTCCACGGCGGGACAGGCGAACCGAGGAGTTTTGCAAAAAAATGCGTACTCCTTCGCCTTGATTCTACCACAGCTGACTCCCGCTTCGCGGCCCGCACAAAAGATGTTCCACCTGCGCCTGCTTTAAGAGCAGATCGGTCCGAAAGTGTCTGTTCGGAGCCGATTGTTTTGTGTGTTGAATGATTTTGGGTGAGTGAGTGAGCGTGAGTGAGCGAGCGACTAGCTGCACGAGGTGGTGCGCGCAGCAGCCATGCCTAAGGCGCCGTTCCCTCCCGGCTTCACAGGGGGCTCCGCAAGCGTCATTGCCCCCTCCACTTGGAGTTCCCGCTGGCGAACGCCCCAACCCCAGAAACAACGTTATGAGGTCAGCAAAGACGGCCCAGTTTGGCAAGAGGGCATGCCAACAATCGCACGAAGTAGCAACTAGGCAGGCCCGCCACCGGCAAGCCGGCATAAGGGCAAGACAGCGTGCCATCCTCGCGGATACCCGTGGGATCAGGCTCTTCCCTTGAAGGTCCCCCTCCGAGGTACTAGGCCACGCAAACAACGTCCCTCTGCGTCGGGCTGAGCGCAGCCGCGAGCCAAATGGCAAGCACGCTTCTCTACAGATCCCTCTGCAGATACTAAGTGCGAATCGCGGCCCGTGTGCTCCCGGAACCCACTCACTCCCCACCGCTTTCCTGTAACAAAGGTGAAATGGCAAGAGCTTCGCCACCCACCTGCAATCAGGTCCCGTACCAGTGTACCCTCTGAGTGGTGGGTGAAGGCCAAACTCCGGCCAGCACCCCTCCGGAAGAGGGCGGTTGAATGATTTTGGACATGTGCTTTGACGGATAGGAGAAAGTGCGGAATTTGATACCCTAGCTCTAGCACTTGTGCATTCTCGAAAAGCGAGAAATAGCCGTAGCTACAGCCCTGTAGCTTGCCTGTCTCTGCCTTAGAGTGAAGCCATGTTGCCGGCACACGTGGTTGTGCCCCTCAGCATGCTTCAGTGGGAGCTCGATCAAGCCCCGCCTTCGCCTAGGCCTCCCTTTGCCTCCGAGGTGGACTCGTCCCCCAGACTTTGCCTTTGCCCCAGCCAGGCTGGCTTTGCACGACTGGAACTGGTACGTCATCACATTCCAAGAGTGTTTTGCCTTGGCGCCACATGAGGGCCAGCCTTTGGAGCCTTACCTCCAGGAGTTTCTTTTCTCCTGGACAGTTTGCCCTCGTATCCTAATCTGCCTTCAGGTGCACGAGTGGCTCCCTCTAGTTTTAGCCAACGATGAGTGCCATCAGCTCATGATTGAGATGCTCTTTTGATGCCTGTTGCATCTCAGGCGGCCGCCGGGCTCTCAGCCATGGCCTTGGGTCACCCCGACCCTTACTTGATGCCCTTGCGAATCTTGCCTTACCAGTGGCACTGGCCAGGCCTTCTAGATGCATTGCCTCTTCCAGGTTTTATGGGACAGCCCCACAGCTCTTGCCTGCAGGACCTTTTGCTCTCAGGTACAGTCGGGCCACGCATCTTGTTGTTTGCAGGTGGGCCTTCTTGGCTGCCTTTAGCCCTGCTTTCTCAGGAGACACATGAATACGTTGTATCGCACTTGGACATTTCTGACTGACTGCGTGCCTAGGTCTGCTGCCTGAGCCCTAGATGCCTTCTTCTGGGTCAGCCTGGCTCGGGCCCCAGCCTGCAAAGCCAGATTCTGAGCTTTCTCCGGGGGCCTCCCGGGCTTCCACCGAGCCAGCCTTTGCTCAGCCGCCGGCTCAGCCTCAGCCACAGCCTGCTCCGTTGCCTAGCCAGGGGTCGGGCAGCGTATGGCTAGCCCCTCACAGCCCACCGCCTTCCACCAGATCCACCAGAACGGGAAGTTCGCAGGCTTGAAGGGGGGCCTGAATGAAAAATTCCAAGGGCGTTTCGAGAATCACCAGGAGTGTGCAATAATCAAGGCAACAACAATCCACAAGAAATCTCAGTCAGCTTCAGAATGCAATCACTCGGTCTCAGACTTTTGTCTGGATTCAATGAGCCAGTCTTGAGCCAATGCCAATTGGTAGGCATCTTGCTGTCCGTAGCCAATACGAGCTGGAGAATGACCATGCAATCTAACACGGTCCCTTGATTGTGACGAGTCACGTCAACAATCACAACTGTACATTCTCCGCTCAATTATCGGTCCTATAACCATGCTATAATTGCAATGAAACAAGAATCGGAATCATCGTTGGACAATTCAAGGCAAACGATCACTCGATCTACCGGTCAAAACTCAATCACGGAACTAATTTAAAATCTAGGTGGCAATCTCACTCCTTTTGCGCTCACATCTGAACAATCTCATGCAGTCGCCCAATCTGCAACTATGAGCAATCATCATCCAGGAAACAATGTCTCCGTCGGTACATTGCAATCATAGAAGCAAATGGAATCAGCAATCAATCAACAGTGTCTGCAGAAATTGTCTTGTGCTCAATCCGAGCAACGGGGTATCAATATCCAATGCAGTCGGGCAGAAAGAGTCAAAACCAAAATCAATGTTGAGAGGCAGCAATGCATATGCTGCACGGTCCTTCAATGCCGTAGGCATAATCCATCATCCGGATTTGTAGATGGATCAATCACCAATCTTCTTGGCAATCTTCAACGACCTTTGCGCTTCTTCGCAATCGCAGCGGCAGTAGACAACATAATGCTGTATTCCTCTCTGGTCAATGAGTCAGGCACAGGGCCTGTGCTCGGATCAATGCCTGCACTTGCACTGCTGGCAATATCGTCCGCGGCAATCTCTGAATCATTTTCCGAGATTAAATACAATTCCGGTGATCCTTCAATCTCCAGATGGGTCAATGGCAAGGTGCAATGCCTGTGCACCGTCTCCGTGGGAACCCAATTCGCATAACAACTGTTATGCATCATCGATGCCAATGACTCAACTGTCAAAGTTGGCAACTCCAGTACAATCGAATGTTGGCGCACCAATCCATCCAAAATGTACGAATAGGTGTTGGCAATCGGATCATGCCGGCTGTCAATCGTGAGGCACCAACTGCTCGACATGAAAGAGCAATTGTGGTACAATGCGAAGCCTCCCGTGCCGTCGGGGACTTTCAATCGCACGTCAGTCATTCGTCTCAATGGTCGAAACACAATGATCTTGACCAATTCCCTTTGCTGGGTCTCATTGAATCTGCCTTGTCGAAACCAATGACACATTTTTCTCAAGGCAGCATCGATTGTCAATTGGGCATTTAACTGACCCAATGGCGTGGTTATCAGTGTTGTCAATCCCGCATTGAGAGATTCAATCTGGCTTGCTGGGAGAGCAATGCAACAGAACCAATCTACCAAGCCATCCACCGGGGCGTAATTCCGGCAATTGTACGATGTGACAGCAATGCATCGTGTAAAGATGCTCTTCAATGAGCAATAGCACTCAACTGTCTTATCGACAATAAGGAAGGCCAAGTTTGCCGTCAGCAATGTCAGCTTGATTCATCGTTCCAATGCATCGGTTGCAAACCCACAATAGGTGGAGAAAGATGCAATTGGCAAATCCACTGTGTCCTGGGAATCCGTCAGGAGTCAATGTTCGGGCATACTTGTTTCCAATGCCCCATCCGAGTGGCACTTCAACTCCGCCAATCTTTTGGTTGAGTCGCACAAGTTGGCGCGAACATGCTGCCAATGCGTCATGCACCTGTTCAGCAATCTCCATGATAATCGGACAATCAAGGTGAATGAATCCTCCTTCTTCACCCAATGTCACATTGACGTACTTGTCGACAATCTGGGTTGTGTCAATGAGTGCCGTTTTCCATAGTTGCAGTTCCAATGACGAAGCAATGCATGTCAGTTGGGCGTAGAAGATGGCAATGGCCTCTCGCATGTGAGTCAATACCGTCGTAGAATTCCACCTCAATCTGTGATGCGGTGAGTACGAATGCTCGGCAATCGAGCTCACAATGGAACGGAATTGCTCCAATGGCGAATCCGTCGGCGATGTCACTGTCGGATAGCCAATGACGTACTCAGGCTCAAGTGCCTGGGTGCCCAATGCCGGGGCTCCATTGGCGGCCATGGCAATCAGAGTGAATGAATCAGTCTGATGCAATCACAAGTGCAATTCGCTTTCTCTCAATCTACGAGCAATCGCAAGCGGAAGAGAAAACAAGCAAACAATCACAGAGGACACACACTCCGGGTTTCAATCTCAAAACGCATTCAATGCTGTAAAATCATGCTATATACAATGTTGTTGATACAACAATGATTGGCCGAGTCAATGCACGTGGAACTCGAAACAATGAATGTTCGGCTCTTCACTGCAATGCTTTGTACAGTTCAAAATCAACTATAAAATCTCTTCAAACAATGAATTCTTGTTTCTTGCAATTCAAATACAATGGTTGGTCCAAGACCTTCCAAGAAAATCTTCCTGGTCAATCGTCCACAACAGGAATAATAAAGTCTTGCCAATGCACATGCTGAGCTCATGAAGAATTCTCTCAATTCTCACCTCTTCTTTATTTCGATAGTGCAATACGCACTCTGAGGGAAGTGCATTCGACCTCAGTAAAGCAAGCAATGGGCTCCCTTCAGATGTGTGGAGTCTATCCAACACAATACAAAGACGGTCCCTTAAACAATGACAGTCCTTGCATCACTGAAGGGCATGAGTCAATTCCTTGGTGATACAGATGAGACAATGTTTGTTTGGTTTTGGGGTTTTCTCAATGAGATAGTGGTCGAACACAGTCGAGATCAACTCACATGACACAATGAGGATCTCAAGACGAAAACGACCAAAGCAGTGGAGGCGGTCAGAATGATGAACGAAAGAGCAATGATTCCTTTCAACAACACATGA